CCGTATTCGTGCTCCCTGCTGTCGTGACTCTGCACACCCTGTGCGTGCTGTCCTTCCTCTCCACGCTCCTCCTGCAGGGAAACAATGGAAGCAGCCGTTACACACTGACCCCTGCGGCCACACACGATCTTCTAGACTAAACCACACACACTGACTTGGGAGTCTAACACAATGATCCCACGTCGGTGGGAGCTCCAAGATTCTCCTAAATAGCTCCCCCGACGAGCCCTGATCAGCAGCAGGCTTCGGGTGTGGCCAGTCCCCTAGCAGGGTCCTGGGTGTGAGCGACCCAGGACCCTGGCAAAATCTGACCGATTTACAAATTAAAAAAACTCATAAATATTGTTTTATGATGTAAAAAAAACCTTATGACATCCTCTACACTATATACTTGAACATATAAAAGTGATGACCACATCTTTCGTTGAATTTTGAGAGTTTTAATCAACTTTGTTACATTTGTGGTGTTCCCAGTCAAAAGTGACCACCATAGAAAATGGATGGGAATCCACCGCCTACCCCACCCCTTTGGCCTCTGACCCCCTGAATGACTCACTAAATGACCCATTGACCGACCCACTGAACTGAATTTGGTGGTGAAAAATGTTTCTTATGTAAATTTAAGAGCTGTTAAAACTGACTGGTTAATTTTGACCGGGAACACTAAAGTGAACACAAGGGAGGGACAGACTTAAGTTTTACTTATTTTAAATCAGACATACATTTTATTTGTGATCCTTAAATAAAACATTAGGTGTAAATGAAAGTAGGTGTAAATGATAATGTTGCCTGTTTATTACCGTTCATTAGTGATGGCCCGCTTGAAGCTGAAGCGTGTGTCAAAAAAATCAACACACTGCTTCAGACTGTGTCGAAGCTGGATTCGTTTGGCCAGAGTCACGTGATCAGTGACGTCCGAAGCTTCATTTAGAGCCTAACTGCTCCGGTGTCTGATTCAATGGTTTAAAAGGAAGTGAATCATTCGCGGGATTTGTGGAGTGTTTTGATGGTGACAGAGAGCGAACCACTGATATTTCTACTGAGAGATAGGGAGCCAGCGAGGAATAGAGGAGGTTCTGTTGTGTGGGAGTATTTTGAGTTGATTTTGGTC